AAAACAAATAGTAAAAAGTAAAGTTATTCAAGCCAACAGAAATAGCAAAGAATAAAAAGCACAAAAGAACTGCTTAGGAAGAAAAAGTGCTCTGCTGAGTGAGTGTGAGCCAGTTAAATTAGGAAAATATGTTCCCTGCAGCATGAGGGTGGGCTGGTGAAAAGGCTCACAGCTGCTCCAGCTTAGTGACTGCCATCTTGTATTTCTCCTTCTGGTGGCAGATCTAAGCCATCTCATCAAAAACCTGCTTGATCATGTACCTGAAGATTGGTATCAGGTGTAGGGCTCAGCTTGATCTTGCAAAGATCCCGTGCCAGAAGAATTGAAGTCCCCATTCCCTAGTGAGTAGCCAGTGCAGGTGCCGGGCTTAAGAGCTGCTGCTCTATGCCTGGGTCTCTGTGGTAAACAAGTCTCTCAATTGACAGGTCTGCCCGGTGGACAGCCATTTTGCCATGCCTTAATCCACTTTGCAACTTTCCCCCTCTATGTATCTTCCAGGAAGAGTTAATGATATCAAATTACAGTGATACATGCAGTACAAATTGTAACAGCTAAGTCTTGGAAGAGACCTATATGGCCATCAACAGATGAGTGGATAAAGAAAGTACAGCCTTTATACACAATAGAGTACTACTCTGGCACAAAGGATAAGCCAGCTATTTGCAGTAAAATAGATACACCTTGAGACCATAGTGTTAAGTAAATCAGAGATAAATATCACAAGCTTAAATACCACATGGTTTCTCTTCTATGAAAAGTCCAAGGCATAAATAAGTAAAGAGTAAAATAAGACATAGGTAATAGGAAGTAAGGAGATAGATCTTTTGCAAAAGGGAACGGAACAAGTTATGGAGAGAGGGAAAGAAAGGGAAATGAAAGGGTATTTTAAAAAGAATCAAGGTGAGTTTAAAGCCAGCCTGAGCTAGATGATAGTGAGTCCTGTCTCAAAAAGCCAAATAAATAAATAAATAATAAATGTAAAAACGAATGTTTACTCAAGGCAAAAGAAAAAGCAAAGAAGAAATTTTATCTGTGTACTAATTCCCCACAGCAAATGTAATCATTTATGTACTGCAAACATGTACCACTTAGAGAAAACCACTTTCCACTGTGTAGTTACATAGATAACAGGAATAGAATGATTCACTAGTAAAATTGGTTTAGTATTACTAATTTAAATTTTTATAGTAATTTCTCATACCTCTGCTATATAAATTTATATTCTCTAAGTACTCTGCCTGATATCTAAACCAACATTTTAGGGAACATTTTATTAGCTTCATCCGAGAAGGGTCTGTTAGTTTCCTGAAATGAAGATTACTCTTAAAGTCATTCCTTGATAGTTAAATATGCTCCATTCTAAATATTTTAATGAAAGATGCATTTTAAGTTTAAAGTGTAATTATACCAGGCACAATGTTTTAGAAGCCCCATAAATGTTGTGTCTCATTTTGTGCAAAAAGAACCAGCAGAAATACTTGCTGATAGGATATATTAGTGGAGTTAAGATCAGTCACCTGAGACTAATTAATGATGGGGCTGAGAGCAAACATGGCCAGTGCTGCTGGTTTACACTGCATATGGAGAGACATGAAATTAAACTTTCCTACTGGGATTGGGTCAAATTCCTGTGAAGGTATGATGGATTAACTAATGGTCAACTTGGAATGCTCAGCTGAGCTGAGCCAGCTTGGTTCTGGGTGTGGAAGACCAAACTGAGAATTGTTGCCAAGGGTATAAAAAGAGAATTGGAGGGGAAGATAGTACGCTGTTGATTTTCCTGGAGAAGCTTTCCACTACTGGATTTCCTGATAAGAACTCAGCTGTTCTCATCCTCAGAGGTGGCTGAGTCCTCCCTGTCACTGGGATGGCTGCTGTTCTTGTCAGGGGAGCTCTAGTCTTGACCTTGACCATCAATTCCTGGCTCCTGCAGATCCCTCAGCTTGATGGCACAGATCCTTCCCCTCTCCAGTGCAGACTTTCTAGGTTACAGCACTGGCCCTTGGTCCTTCTCAGTGCAGATCCTCAATACAGATTCACATGAGATGTTGCCATGGGCTCTAGACTTCTGACTGGACTCCTGGGGGACATTGCCATGGGCTTTAGGCCTTTGGCTAGACTCATGGGAGACACTGGCATGAGACACTAGCATTTAGACCCTTGGCTGGATTGTTCTGGTTTCTAACATGAACAAATCTCTTGCGCTTCTCTGAATTTGATTTTTTGGATGATTATTATGAAATAAATTATGTGTCCTATATTAAATCTGTTATCTTGCAAACCCTAACTACAGCAGATGTGTAGGTGTCTAATTTGTCAGCCACAAAACTAGGTCCATAGGGTTCGGATGACAGTTGTGCTAGGTCTGATGTATACATTGAAGAGTTCTTTGAAGGAGGTCTTCCAAAAGAAGGAAAGGATTTGTCGTGTTCACACTCTAGCTGGGAGCCAGAGTGACTTGATCTTGGTGAAACTGTACCTGATGTCCAGAGGAAAAAGTAAAAAAGTATATCTAAAGACATTTAAAAGAGAAAACCTCCAAGATTATCCAGCATCCTTAATTATGTTATGTTCTTTGTTTCCTGAAATTTCCTTCTTTTAAATTTGCTATCTAAAGTCCCTTTGCCCACCATGAGGAAGTGTTCTGGGCAAAACACCTACTTATTCCACAAGGTCTAAATTAATACATTAGCATATTTGTTTTACATATTTCCAAGAAACAAATTGTTTAGTCAGTTCTTCTCTCAGTTTGTCTCATTGCTGAGACAAAATACACAGCACTCTCACGTTAAAGGAATAGACGTTTATTTTGGCCCACAGTTTGTAGAGGTTTCAATTCACAGTTGGCTGGCTCCAAGGCAGGGTGTTGTGGCAGAGGGGCATAGCAGAGAAACCGTTTATGGCATGGCAGGTGGGGAGCAGAGAGCCAACAGGGGAAGAAGACTATATATATACATATATATATTCCTCCAGGTCATGCCCATAGGAACCCACCTCTCCCCACCCGGCTTCACCCCCTAACATCACACCCAGGTATAAATCTGATTAATCCAATATCACACACCCATGACCCAGCCGCCTTCCCAAAAGTCCCACCTATGAGTGCATGAGGCTTTGAGGGGTCACCTAGATATAAGCCATAACAGTTCCCCAAAGACTCATCACTCTTCGAATAAGTATATACAATATAAATTCTCAGCAAGCTGATATGAAGTGTGAGTCTAAACGATTATAAACTTGTTCAGTGAAGCCCCTTTTTGAAAAAGTGCCTTAAAGTATGCATCCTGATCTTTCCATTTCTGGTCCATCACCTCAAACACTGGGTCCTATCTGCTCCTCTTACATCATTTCTTTCTCATACTTTTTTTCAGCCAGTGATCCCAGATCTCATTCCCATTTTGTAGCTTTGATACAACTATGCGCAGGCACAATTTTACCTTCTTTCCTTTTTCACTTCCCTCCTTCCCCTCTTTCATTCCTTTTTCTATTTGTCTTTCCCTTTCTTTGTCTCTCTCTTTTTCAGTGCTTGTGATTACAGCCAGGGCCTTGTATATGCTAGGCATATATCTTACCAACCAAGCAATATCCCTCCTTCCGACCAAGTTGGTAATTCTTCCACTGTGTTCTGTCTATGCATCATGGACAGAAGGAATAATATATTACTGCTTGCAGTTTCAATTTTTGGCATGCTTCCTTAGAACACTGACCCTAGATTTTGTCCTTACTGTCTGATTAGCTCTTTCTAGGTTTCTCCTAAGGCAATGAGCCTGGCAAGTCATTAACTGACATCATGATCTATCTTTTTAGTAAAGAGCACAGATTCTGAGCCAGATTCCCTTGAATTCTGGCTCTGACTCTTGCTAGTGATGTGACCTTGGGCAAGTCACAAATGCCTTGGTTTCTTCTTCACCTGTGAAATGGAGATGGTAACAGCACCTCCTATAGGGCTGTTGTGGCTGAATATTACTTCTGTTGTGGTTGGGAATGTAGCTCAGTGATTGAGGCTCTGGAGGCTTCCAACACCAAAGGACAAAAAAATTACTGTATCTAGCACATAAATGCACCTCATGTGACAGTTACTATTATTTTTGTTGTTATTATTATTGTTGTTGTTGTTGTTGTTGTTATTACTATCCCTTCTCTGAGGAAGTGAAGGTACAGCCTATCAGTTGCTGTACAAAGTAACAGGGTACAAAGAGAAAAAGTAGGATTGTATTTTAAAATATTTCATTCTACCCCAGAGGCAATTATCACATTTTACAAATACAAGTGACCCCATGGTTTGCTTTTGACATTTAATGTCAAAAGTTTGAATTCTGCACCGTTATGAATGTATAATTTCCATTTCCCCTGTGTGTGTAAATTACTTAAGTCTAATTAATTTTTTTCTTCCTGGGAAGTCATCAGGACTATCTTTTCCCTGAGAACCTTCAAAGGTTCTAAGCAAGTGGTAGGTAAATATTTACCAGGAAGACCAAACCCTGCCAATACTCAAGTCTAATAAGCAAACAACAGAAGGAAACACTGCTTAAATTTTACTGGAATCTGAGTTAATAAATAGAGACCACAGAACGAATAGCAAACAACTACTTGAATTCTATCAGAATAAAGAAACAATGAATCTGGATCTCTAGTCTAAAGCTGTTATGCTATATGATTAATAGAGCTAACAAGACACCTATTACACATTAGAAAATCCTCTAGAAAAGTTTAAAACAAAAGTAACAACTTGCATGGAGTATAATTGATTCTTACAGATAAATTATACAATTTTGCAGTTCAGGGAATACTTTCACTTTTCTTCAAGCTTAAATAAACTGAACATTTCATCTTGGCAATTATTAACTTGCCACATTTTTATAACTGAGTAAAAATTTGGCTTCTTTTCATGTTTTAGTTGAAATTACACTTTAATTCATATTTTTATGGGTAACAGTTTATTATCCTTAGTACCTATAAAACAAAACTTCAGCTGAACTTTGATTTTTCTTAATCTTCAGGTTAGCATTACTGAAGTTAAAGTACTGAAATTCTCTGGATGAGCTCAATGATAGAAATAATAATGAAGATTATTAGTGAGTATTTTATAAATATTCATACAAATAGGGATAAATGAAAATATAGTATTGGGATTTGTCCTTAAATCTTTTTCTTTCTGTTTTAGGTTTTCCCTTCCAGTTAAACACATTTCTTCACTTTGTTCCTGGAGTAAAGCCAGAACCAACATTGTCTCTATTTCTAATCAAATAATGGAGAGAAAAAAACAACCAACACAAATTCTGAATGCAGTTAGAGGACCCTTGAGGCAGTGTCTGATGAAGCTTGAGTTGTGCCTCTGACTCATTTCTGACTTTGGGTAAGTTGTTTAATATCTCTGTGCTTTTGTCATGAATATGATAATGCTGATTTATTTTGTAGGGATGATAATAACTCAGGAAATAACCATTGTTCTTTCAGAGAGATAGGATTGATTAGCTGGGAGACGGCTTCTGCAACTTGGGAAACAGATTTAGGATTACATCTTATTTCCATTCTCTTTATGCTTTGAATGAGTGGGATGGGGGTTTGAGGTAAATGATAGAACCTACAGTTTCAACAAAATGGAAACGAAAAAGGATCATATTATAATTTTCACTTCACAAATATTTTTCTTTCCTTAATCTATTTGGGGACCAAAGGTACTTAACTTTTAAGGCTTTAATTGTCACCAGTTTTTATTTTCTATGAAATCTAATGCTAACCACTATATGTTATGCCATATGTTATATAATTAGTTATATATACATACAAATACAAGTTAGAATTCCTGCTTTCAATTTATATATTTTTTTCACAACATGGAGTGTTTTTCTTTTTTAAATTACATACTTTTAAATAACTTTTTGTTTGTTTTCTTGCTATGTAGTTCAGGCTGGCCTTGATCTTACTATGTAGCCTAGGCTAGTCTTGAACTCTTATTAGTGATCCCTCTTGCCTCAGCCTCCTAAGGGCTAGGATTACAGTTGTGTGCCACTAAGCTTAAGTAGCTGATGCTCCAGCCCAATCTCTGTGGCCCTCAAAATTTGACCAAGCAGGGGATATGAGGATTGCTTCCTTCCTCATTAGTCTGATTTCTGATTTTTCATAATGGACATTAGCGCCTCCATTGGAGTGACTGATTTTGGTAAACAACACATCCACTCAAACTACTTCTCTAGTTAAAATGTTTCAATTTTCCTTTTTTTGGTACTAGGGATCAAACTCAGGACCTTGCTCTTATGATGCAGGCGAGGTGCCACTGAGCTATTTTTTTTTGAGTGGGATTTGAACCAGGGGCCTTCACCCTGGGTTCTATCTCCAGCCCTTTTTTTCTTTTTTCTTTTGACACAGGGTCTTGTTAAGCCACTAAATTTCCCAAGCTGGGTTAGAATTTGCAATTCTCCTGCTTCAGCCTCCCACAGTCCTTGGATTATAGGCTGAAAATTTCAAATCTTTTTAGGTTAACATTCAACTTCTTTTGTAGAGGCCTGCCAATAATCAGTAAAACTATTTTCAAAGGCTGAAAATTTTGTATTACACTATGATTTACTTAGACAGGACTGAGTATAATTTCAGTATTCTCAGCCCACTGCCAGAACTTTGCTTAGCACTTAGTATGCATTCAATAAATGTTTTTGCAAAGTATGAATGAACTAAAGAGCCATGAGTGTCTCAGAAAGGGGTTGGTCTGGGAATTGCAAAATTCAGGAGGGGACATGGAAGCAGGCTATAAGAGTCCTAAATAATAATTTTTATATAATAGCAAATAACTGAAAGAATCAATAATGTCAAAGTCTAAGGAAACTTGTCTTTTCTATTTTGAAAGAGTAGTTAATTAAGCCTTATGATGTACCAGAAAAATTGATCTTGATATATTTCCAATTCAGATAGGAAAGTATTATATGTATATATTATAGTGTAATATATAAATAGATAGTATATAGGGTCTTGTTACTTTGCTAAATTACCCCTGCTGAGCTAGAGATCTTCTTGCCTCCGCCTCCCAGAGTGTTATTTCAGGTATGTACCACTAGGCCTCTTTTAAAACAGAAAATTTAAGAGCTGGGAGTATTGCTCAGTGTTATAGTGCCCTGGGAGGGAGGGAGGCAGGTGGGGAAGGGGAGAGAGAGAGAATGAATTAAAATATGCCTTCCTTCAGAGAAAAATCTCCTTTGAAAGAAAAAAGAAAAATATTGGTTATTCCTATATTATTCTTGTGGGCATAAATGAAGCTTGTCAACCAGTGGGCCTTTTGGAAGAATGGCCAGTCAAGAATCTCCAGCATCAGTCTCTGCAGATCTCTTTGAGGCTACAGAGACGAGTTCCATGTTCTCTGGCCAGGCCAGGAGAACAGTGGCCAAGTCTGGCTGTTGGGTAGAGCAGCCTTGTGGAGAAGCAGGGTCCACAGCCTTGTAGAAGAACCAGTCTTCCCCTGCCCCCGGCCATGATGCTACCGGGAGAGTCGCAACCTAACGTTCTTTTGGAAGAATATAGGATTCGGGAACAAATAAGTGAGCCATAGTCAGAAGTGAGAGTGATGTTGGACAGAGAAGGCCAAGTTGCAGGATTTCTCTGCAGTCCATTTTCCTGTGTGTAGCAAGAGCAGAGTGAGGAAGACCTTGTGTAGGGCTGATTAAGGGCCCTGGCCTCCGAGGAGGGAAACCTACATTTGCCAGGTGTTTCATGTATCAGTTGTGTGATTTTTAAGGAAATGATTTAACCCTTTGACCTAGTCATCTGGATGTACCTGCTCTTTAGGGTCGTTTGTGGATTATACCAGATGATGCTTGTAATAGGCATAGCATAGTTCTAGGGAAGTTGTAAGAAAGACCCAGTAGTACAAATGTGTGAAGTAAAATTATATACTTCTAGCCACTCTGTTCCTTGAGTTTAAGGCCAGGATATGGAGGTTTTTCTTAAAGCTCTCAAGGGATCTCAGTGAGTAGCAAAGTTTATGCACCATTTCTTCGGTTATATCAAAGCGGGGAAAGTGATTCATGAGTCATGAGTAGGACTAGTGATGATGGGGCATAAGAATAAAAATAGGCTAACAAATCATTCGGTTAATGTTAATATCTTTTAAAAGCAAAAGCACGGGTATAAAATTTGTTTGAAGATTAGGCAAATATTTTCTGTCCTTACAGGATTTTTAGTTTCTAAAATTTATGAAAGCTCACCCTTTTGGTAGCACACAGAAACTTCTGAATTTGAACAAAATTTTTCACCAAGACCAATAATTTAATGTCGATTTAAATGTTGGTCATGTAAAGTGCTTGCCTGGAATGTGCAAGGACCTGGGTTTGACCCCCCTATGTGTAAAGTTAATTTTTCTCCCAAACTTTAAGCTGAAACTTAATACTGATCTCTTTTGCTTGCTTAAACATTGAGACATCAAGAAAAACAATGCATATCTTCTCCTATTTGTTACAACTTTCTTCCTTTAAAAATAAAAAAAAATCTTCCATATACAAAATGAGTTCCTATTGATTTAGCACTTAAATGCCAAGATACCTTAAAATATTATCTCCAAACTTCCACAACCCTATAAGGTAGTGATAACAATTATTATTTCCATTTTATAGAACAGGAGCATTGTAGTAAGTTGCCCAAGGTCACACAACCAGACATCACAGCCAAAATTTGGACACAGGTTTTTCTGCTTACTTAGCCTGTACCTTTTCTACTCCATCATCCAAGAAGTACATTAGGACCCCAAAAGAATGAGCATTTCTTCTATGTTTGTGTCACTGAACAAATACCATTCTATTCAAGGTTATGCTGAGCATCACTTTGTGAAGGCAGAAGGCCAGGAATATCTGCGACAGTTTTCTGGGTGACCTTCAGATCAGAGATGGCCTGGAATATCTTCAGAACTCCTGGAGCTCCTTGAGTCTAAATCCAGTTCTTGTTTCATGAAAAATTCAAAGTTGATACGTTAATAAAAGTTAGGCTGGACATAGCTCAGTGGTAGAGCATTTGCCTAGCATTTGTAAGTACAAATCTCTAGTACAAGGGGAAAATGAAGTTTAAAAATTCGTTTTATTCTTGCAGTTCTTTCAATGAAGAAAATGGCGAAGACACTGGGTTTCATCCTTGTTGCCACTGTTCTGATAACAGTCAGGGGAAGCTGGGTAAGTTTACTGTGGAAACATTATCATGTTTGAAATACCTGCTTTGAGCTGGGTTTTCTTTTATGTTGCAGAAAATATGTAGTAACGTGCCACTGGAAAAATTCAACTGAAAATGAGGGGAAAGTTTTGTGGGAACACTTGGCACACAGGAACACTGAGAAAATCTTAAAAAGAATTTTAAAAGTAATAACCCATATTCACAACAAATAAGTATTCCTTAATTTGCTGGATTATTTCCACTTTTTACATTATATCAAGAATGTAAAACTGGTCATAGGAATTAGAATTGACCTTGGATTTTTTAATATTGAATGCTATTAGACTACCCAGGGTCTTTTTTTTTTCTTTTTTTTTTGGTGTGATTTTGGGGATTGAACCCGTAGCTTTTTCACTGAGCTCTATATGCAGCCCTTTTTAACCTTCTTAAATTTTGAGACAGAGTCTTATTAAGTCACTAAACTGCCCAGGGCTGGACTTAAACCTGCTATCCCCCTGCCTCAGCTTTCCAGAGTACTGGGATTAAAGGTGCTCACTCACATCATACCTGGTTTACACAGATTCTTTAATTATAGTGAACTTGTGTCAGCTTCCACTCATGAGCCGAGAAAGACTAAGACATCCATTTACTCGAAGTTCTGGTGAAAGGAAAACTTGTAAGCATTAAATAACCCATACATACTGTTGCAAGACTGGGCACACTTGGCTTGTACTGTAATCCCTACAATCATTTTAAAGTTGCAGTAGTGAATTATGTTTAACAGTTTCCTACTCTTTTTAGCCACACAGGATTCAGACACCATAAAATGCTCTTGTTTATTTTTTGGCCTGTGTGACTCAAATCGCACAGGACACTCAAATCAAAGTGGATAAATCAAAGTGTGATAAGAGAACACCAACAGCAAGTAGGAAATAATCATAGAAAAAATAGCAGAGATTCAGTGATTTGGGCTAGAGATGAGAAGGAGAGGCTTTTATCACTCTCTTGCTGTATGACTTTCAGTTTTGAGGTTGAATGCCTGTTCTCCTGAAATCTGAATTTACAGTCCTTTATAGGAAACTGGTATAATCTCTTTCCTTTATCCTAAATAACATATCTATTTGGGCTATTGTGCAAAGTACCCAGAATGCCGCAGGTCTCCGTATTTACTTATGGAACGAATACAAAGTTGTACATAATAATGGGAACAGGAAGTTAGAATATGTATATATTAAGAAATGCATCTGACTATAATTGAAAGACTTTCAGGAAATCATGTGTCTAAAAGTACTATAAGGTTATAACATATTAAAATTCATAACTTCTACAGCTGGGTGTAGTGGTACACACCTGTAATTCCAGCACTCTGGGAGGCTAAAGCAGGAGATTGCAAGTTTGGGCTCAGCCTGGGCAATTTAGCAACTTTGCAAGACCTTGTCTCCAAATAAAAATAAAAAGGGCTGGAGATCCAGCTCAGTGCAAAGGCCCTGGGTTCAATATCTAGTGCTGCCACAAAAAGAAAAATGAAGAAAAAAAAATGTTTAGTCTCTGTCTCTCAGCCTGCCCCAATTATATCATCAGTTCACTCAGTGCCCAAGTTTGATAAACATTTGTTGTCTGACTGAATCTTGTTATGGTTCTGTAGTTGCATAAGCAGTTAATAGCACATTATTACCCAATTGCAGATTGATCTTGTTTTTGTGTCTGAGATGTTTTTAAAACTATTGAATTTGTTTAAAGTAAAATTTAGCTTGTTCATAAATCTGTGTCTGGACATGACCAAAGGCATTATAATATTGGTCTCTCATGAAATATACTAAAAGATATATGGTTGGATTAAAGTAAGCATAGTACATGTGGGCTGGATGTATGTGTCTCAATGGTAAAGCAGCTGCCTGGAGTGCACAAGGCCCTGGTTCTCAGAAGTAAGCGTTATGTCCTGGAAATAAACATTTATGCTCATCAGAGGAAGTCATGACATGAGCTGCAAATAGGCAGAAATGAAAAGGTAAAAATGAAAGAGCAAAAATGTAACCTGAAGCTCTTTTCATGAGTCGTAGTGGCTTTCCAGATATTGAATATTCTAGTCTTGAATTGCAACCTCCTGGTCTCAGTAGCTCTTCCTTAGGAGACCCACGTCTGCAACTTTTCTTCCCAATGTATCTACCAAATCTGCTTTATCTTTAGAAAGCTCTGCTCCGTCAAATGCCACAGAGAAAGGCATTGATAAGCTGGTGGCCATGCCCAGAGCCTCAGCACTCAGGAATGCTGAGCAGCAGGATCATAAGTTTGAGGACATAGTGAGACCCTCTCTCAAAATGAAAAATTTTAAAAAGTTTGGGGATGCAGTCAGTGCAAAGGCCCTGGGTTCAACTCTTAATACTACACATACACACACAAAGGCATGGTTAGACTCAGGTGTAATATATTTTGGTTATTTGCCTTTCAAGAGAAGATAAATGATATAATTGGGCTGATGCAGTTCCTGCCATCTCTTTTTCAAGTAGCTGAGAGAGAAAAAAACGACTCTAGTAGACTTTCTAGCAACAGGTTCATGAGTGAGGTACTGAGGGGTAAGAGTGTCTAAATTATCATCCCTTATAAAAATGACCATATGTCATCTAATTAGAAGCATTGACTCATTTTAGAAGCATATTTCCTGAAAGTAATTAAAAAACCTCCTTTATGTAGGGGTTGACATATTAGTAATACTACTAAGTTCTGCAAGGCATGTGAATTCACTGTTTTGTGGAAAACACAAGGTGGTATCGTGTAGAGGTAGAGAGCTTACCTCTTACACTGGATTGGAACACTGACTTCTCCTCCTACCCACAAGGTACTCCTGAGGAAGTCTTTTTATCAGGATGGAACCCATTCCTGCCTTATGGATTGTCATGGGAATCAAAGCTCTTAGCAGCATTTATTATTAGCAGCAGCATTTATTTTCCATGAAAATGAGATGCACATTGCCTTGCAGGCTCTGGAGAGCTGTTCCCAGGAGCAGGTGCGGCTCAGAGCACAGGTGCACCTCCTCGAGACCCGGGTCAAACAGCAACAGGTCAGGATTGCACAGCTTTTGCATGAGAAGGAGATTCAGTTGCTTGATAAAGGAGAGGAGAATAGTAGAATTGACCTTGGAAGCAAGAGGCAGTATGCAGGTAAGAATAAATTTTTCTTAAGATTTTCAGTAACATACATACATATATATATATATATATATATATATATACACACTCATGTAACAGACAACATGAAACATTATATCCATTTAATTATCTTCTACCGTATTTTACACTTTTCTCTACTGTACTCTTTTTTGTCTTTTCTTTTCCTTTTGTTTTTTCAGACAGGGTCTTGCTATGTAGTTCAGGCTGGTCTTTCACTCACTGTGAAGCACAGGCTGGCCTTGAATTCACAGCAATCCTCCTGCCTCAGCTTCCAGAGTGCTGGGATTACAGGTGTGCACTACCACTCTTGGCCTCTCTCTATAATGTGTTCAGGCAATATTTACTAAGAATGCAAAATACCTGAGAATTTCTGTTGTTTAATAAGAAATGAAGACAATAGATTTTATTCTTCTTTTATACTTTTAATTCTTTATTGGTATGTGTTTGTGATACACACTGCTCACATTCCTGGTGGGGAGTTGGTGCATGTACCCAAGACATCTCAGTTATCTTTATCCCCTTCCCATTCCTCCCTTCCCCTCCCTCCATCTCTTAGTCCCCTTCTCATCTGTAAAAGGTCTCTCTCCCTATATCCTATCAAGACAATAGATTTTTAAATATTAGTATACAGATGGCAGATTATAGCTGTAAATTTTAAGGTTTTATTTTTTATCAGTACGTATTTCCAATACATAAGGATTACATTCCTTATGGGGAATTGGTACATGTCATGAAACATCTTAACTTTTTTCAACCTCTTTCCCTACCTGCTAACTCCTTACCTTTTAATCCCCTTCCATATGAGAAAGATTTTTCTTAATTTTTAAATTATTTGTCCTTTATTTTGCACTTTGTTTATATTTTAGGCTTCTCATATAAGAGAAACTATGCAATATTTAAGGTGTGTCCAACTTATTTCACTTAATATTATGGTCTTAAAGTGCATCCATTTTCTTATAAATGACTTGACTTTATCTTTTTTATGGCAAAGTAGTATTCATTATGTATAATGCCACATTTTCTTCATCCATTCACCTGTTGATGGACACATATGTTGCTTCCAAAATTTAGCTGTTATAAATTGTACTGCTATAAACATGAATATGCATTTATCACTGTAATATGATGTCTTTAATTCTTTCAGTAAGATACTTAGCGGTGGAATAGCTGTGTCAACTGGAATTTCTAGTTTTAGATTTTTGAGGAATCTCCATGCTGATTGGCAGAGAGATTATACTAATTTACATCTCCACCAACAACATAACAGAAGAGTTCCTTTTTCCCACAGCCTTGCCAAATTTGATTTAATTTCTCGATGATAGCTACTCTTTCTGGAGTAAGATGGAATTTCAGTGTGTTTTAATTTGCATTTTCCTAATGGCCAGAGATGTTGAACTTTTTTTTTCAATGTCATTTATTGGTCATTTGTACTTCTGAGAAGTGTCTATTCATTTCAGTTGCCATCTTTGGATTATATCTTTTATTTTGGGTGGTCTAATTCTTGAGTTCTTTATATATTCTAGATATTAGTTGTCTGCCTGAGGAATACCTGGAAATTTTTTTCTCATTCTCTAGGTTATCTCTCCACTCTGTTGGTTGTTATGTAGAAGCTTTTTAATTTGATACAATCCCATTTATTGAGCCTTAGTCCATGTCTGTGTCTTCAAGAGTTTTACCTATTTTGTCTTCCAAAAGTTTAAGAATTTCTATTTTAACATTTAGATCATTGATCAGTTTTGATTTTAGTTTGGTACATGGTGAGAGATTTGGGTGTAGATTCAATCTTCTGCATGTAGATAGCCAGTTTGCTCTGCACTATTTATTAAAGAGGGTATCTTTCCTCCAGTGTATGTTTTTGACCCCTTTGTCAAAGATCAGATAGCTGAATGCCTGCAGTTGTTTTTACATCCTCTATTCTGTTGCATTAATCCACAAGTCTGTTTTTGTGCCAATACCATGTAGTTTTTGTGTGTGTTTTTCTGTTCCAGGAATCGAACTTAGGACCTCGTGCTTGCCAAGCAGGCATAGTGCCATGAGCTAATGTGATAACCAACCCGACTCCATCTTGTGTCTCAACACCATTTTGTACCTGTGCTAGAACAAAGTGCTCGCAGTTGTACAAAGCAACCCCCACCGCCACATCTTGCTTGAGAGTATACTTGCTGCAGTTGCAGGAGTTTTGTAGCTCACCTCGTGTGAAACTTCCCTGTGCCCCCCACTAGCCTGGCATGCCTCTGCTTCTGTAAAATTCCCTTTGTTCTTCCCTGAGCCCTCCCCAACCAAAAGTGTGATTTAAAAGGAGAAATCAAACTTCTTCCATTGCCAAGGAAACTTTCTCGGTTCTGGCCCCTCCTCAGCTACTGGTTGTACTAAAAGAATCTGGCACACATCTCTGATGTTCAAACTCACTCATCACAACACTAAATCCCCGGCACCATGCAGTTTGTAGTCCCTGCAGCTCTGTGCTACAACTTCAAGCCCAGGATTGTGATGGTTCCTGCTTTGCTTTTAGTACCCAGGACTGCTTTTGCTAGTCTGAGTTTCTTCTGGTTCGTTTTTAGGATTGTTTTCTTCAGTTGTGTGAGAAATACTGTTGGCATTTTGATTGAGATTATATTAAATCTGTATAGCAGTTTTGGTAATATAATAACTCTGACAAAATTGATTCTGCCTATCCAAAACAGGAAATACCTTTCCATTTTCTGATGTCCTTTTCAGTCTTCTTTTTCAAAGTAGTGGTAATTCATTGTGAAGGTCTTTCACTTTTTTGGTTAGGTTCATTCCTAAATATTTAAAAAGTTTTTGATGTTATTGTGAATGGTATTTTTTTCTAATTTTTGTTAACAAGCTAATTATTGGTATATAGGAACACTATTGATTTTAGTGTGTTGATTTTGTATCCTGCTACACTGGTGAGCTTGGTTATTAATTCTAGGAATCATTTGGTGAAATTTTTTGGGTCTTCTGTGTAGAGGATACTCTCTCTGCAACTAAGGATAGTATGACTTCTTCCTTTCCTTTACATATCTCTTTCATTTCTTTCTCTTGCCTGATTGCTATGGTAAAGTTTTGAGTACTACATTGAACAGGTGTAGTGATTGTGGACCTCCTTGTTTCATTCTTGATTTTAGAGGGAAAGAGTTCAGCTTTTCCTCACTGAATATGATATTGGTAGTAGGTTTGTCATTAATGGCTTTTGTCAGATTGAGATAAAATCCCTCTCTACCTGTTTTTTATCAAGGCTTTTTCTGCATCTATTGAAATGATCATGTATTTCCCCCTTGCTTCTGTTTATGTGATATATTACATTTATTGGTTTGCGTAATACGGCTTGTATCTAGCTGTTCTCCCAGAGCCTCATGTAGTCATAGGTGGGGCTTTTTCAGAGGTGGCTGAATCTAGAGTGTGTAATGCTAGGATTAATTCATGATGCAATGCTAGGATCAAGCATACTAGGATTAAGAGTGTGAGTGCTACCCACCCTAAATAGCCTGGATAAGATAAGACATAAGGGATAGAAAGGGCTGTGGTCACTCCTTGTTGCCTTTCTACCTTCTGCCTGCCATGAACTGTTTCTCCTCCGCGATACCTGTCTGCCATGCCACCCTGCCTTGGAGTCAGCTAATTATGGACTGAAACTGCTGCACACTGTGAATTAAATCAACCTTTCCTCCTTTAACTTTGGGTGTTGGGTATTTGTCTCAGCAACAAGAAAAGTAATGAAAACGCATATGTTGAAACATCCTTGCACCACTGGGAGGAAGCCTAGTTGGTCATGATGTATGATCTCTTCAATGATTTATTGCATTCTCTTTGCCAGGATCTTGTTGAAGATTTTTACATATATATTCATTGAGGAGATTCACCTATAGTTCTCCTTTTGGTTGGATCCTTGTCTGGTTTTGGAAACAGGGTAATAATGCTAATTTTCAGGAATGACTTTGACTGACTCCTCTTTTAATTTCATTAAAAACATACTTGTGAATTTTTCATTTGACTTTGTTTTTGGTGGGAGGTTTGAGACAGATTCTTGCTATGTAGTTATGCTGACCTTGAACTCACTATTATATAGCCCAGGCTGGCCTTGAACTTCTGGCAGTCTTCTTGCCTCAGTCTCCTGAGTGCTAGGATTAGAGGCATGTGACACCAGTTCTGGCTTTGACTTTGTTTTTATTTTTGTAGCTTTTTTGTTATATTTATGCCATTTCTTGATTTGTTTGTTCAAGACAGGGTCTCTCTGTGTTCTCCAGACTGGCCTAGAACTAGTAGGGCTCAAATGATCTTCCTGCCTTTGCCTCCTAATGAGCTGGATTACAGGTGTGTGTTGCCATGCCTAGATTTCCCTCTTACACCCTGATGTTCTTTAGGATAAAAAATAATATAATAAAAAGGCAGGGGAAAAAAAGAGAAGCATACATATTAAGCAAAGTAAAAGGGAATATTTTTATTTGACAATTTTACTTTTGATTGGGCCAATATTCCCCACTAAACTTAAATTAGGTTTGTTTTGTTTGTTATTTTTGTTTTTATCAAGGAATCACTATGATATAGTTCAGGCTGGTCTTGCCTGCCTGTGTAGCCCAGACTGGCCTCAGACTCATAGTGATCCTCTTGCTTCAGCCTACTGCGTGCTGGGATTATAGGCATGTGCCTGGCTGAAACTAAATGATCTTAAACTTTGAACACATTACACACATCTATACACATTTATTAATATTGTTCATGTGACTTCCTCTAGAGTAAAAAGCTTTGATTAAACTAAATAAACAGTTGTCAGAAATGGAGAGGATCCTATCTAGAGCACTTTGTTCATATGTCTAGTACTGCACTACCATGATCCATTATAATGTCTCTGTTTATAAGTCTGTCTTCTCGGCACTGTGCAGGGCCTGGGATCTTGCTTACTGTACTTATATCTCTGTTAACTATCAGATTTCATAGAGTATAGGAGATCCTCATACTTAGGAATGCAAGGCAATATACAGAGATAG